TAGCTAGTTTGTAACTAACTCTGTACTTTATTCCGTTGCACCATTTGTAGGTCGTAATCTCTCCATAAAGTAATGTGTAGTCGCATGATATGACGTTTACCCTCAATGATCCAATAAGCAGCCATCAAACACGTGAGCAGAAGTTGTGTTGAAATGCTGTGAATTTCAGTTTATCCTTCATTCGAACTACTTTTGCCTCTACGGTAAACACCAGTAAGAAGTAACGGTATTTTATTGCCATTAAATACGATACTTAATCATGAATAACATGATAAATGTTTTTATAACATTCAGAAACTGTATTCGAAACTAAATAAATAATGATCAATAAATAAATACTGAAAAAAAAAAAAAAAAAAAGACATTTAGGCATTTTGACTGATTTTATTTGACATGCACAACACGGAGCAATATACAGCGGTGCATTGTTTAGGACGGGTTCGTGTTGAAGAGTCACTAAGAAAGTAATATATTCACATAATGTTATCTCTCTTAAAATGTAAGCAAGTGTAAATGTCAGCATTATCATAAATGTCTAAAGAATTGAAGTCTGTCAGGTAAAATAAGAGCTTATTGATGCAGTTCAGTCTGTCTGCTATTTTATTCCAACCGTTACTCCTGATCCGAGGCTTCCGTAAATATTTAGTTATACGTAGAGTTACGCTTCAACTTCTAGTTTAATGGTGCAACGCAGAAATATTTAGTAGTGAATAAGTTGTAACTCAGTGTCCATTTATGTCAAAACTAGGCTAAGTTGTAACTGGAACTGAAGTTGGAACCGGCCCCAGGTCTTAGTATCATTCGGTAAATAATATAGAGACATTTTACTCAAGATGCTTTCAAAGGACCGAACAAAGATGAGCATAACCAATATCCATCGCAAATGCAGGCTGATATCTAAAAGCTTTTTTTTTTTTTTTTCTCTTCTAACTAACATTTATATTACTAACAGATATTTAAACTGAATACAATTGTAAAACGAACTTGCTAGGTAGCCTAGGTTAGATAATTACCTTAAAAGTCCATATATTGACCATTTCGTAGCCTACAGTAACACTTTCTCTGACAAGTGCATATGGTTTACAGGCAAAAAAAAAAGTTAATTAAAAATTAAAAATGTTTTCATGGTGACTAGGGCTGCAACAACTAATCGATTTGGAAAATAATCGACAGCTAATGTTATCATCGATTAGTCGCGTCTGCGCACTGCGCCGGTGAAACCATCTGCCAATCACGTCGCTTTAGTGAAAAATCAATTTCTATGGACAAAAATGCTCATGGAAAACAGCCGAGGACACAGAGTGAGCTGCTCCGGGAAAGGTACATGATCCAAGTTGTCCGAAACATGAGAATGCTTTCTATTAATAAGCGGTTCAAACAAAAGCATATGCGTTTACTGCGTCTTGCTGTCTCGTGCTTTGACAGATGAGTGTGTTGTTTATTGCCTTTGACACGTGTTTTCCACAGCGCATAATGTTATATCCGTAGATAGTTATAGAAGGATATAGATAGTTATAACCTTATCTGTAAATGTTAGAAAGTCCCGCGTGTATTTCCATTTAGTATATTTTGACTCAACAATCGTCTTGTTAAAGGTAGGGTAGGTCGTTTTTGGTCTAAAAAACTTTTTCCCAAATTTGTTTAAACTTTCTATATATATCAATGCATAATTAAAATGTAAGTACTCTGATAAAAAGAGTATAAAAATCAAGTGACTCTAGACCGTTTAATCTGCACTAAACACAGCTCATTATTTCCTTCCGGGACGAAACAAAGGATTGGCTTAGGCGACTGTCACTCTCTCGCAACCATGGCAACACCCCCGCTGCTACATGCGCTGCCCACATGCGCGCACTAGTTTGACTCGAGGAGGGTAAGAGACTAGTAAGAGACACAATTACATGCAAAACACGGCGTATATGTTATTAATCTTACACGAAATTCACCTTCATCACAGTGTAACTGATTGTAATGGGGAAACGTGTATCAATGCAACCTTTTAGCTTTGCTTTATGTTACTAGCTCGTTAACGAATCAAACTCAATATATTTTAAACTTTACCAGTATCGATATGCTAGCTTGATAGTGAGTACTAACAGCCATGTTAGTTGTTTATATTCATAATGATAAAGTTAGGTATTTTATTACATGTGAGTCTGACATGATGTCACTACATGCACTGCTCCTCTCCGCTCGGCGCTGGTAAGCGCGTCCTCCAGCTGTGAGCTGTCGGCATCGCGCGTTCATGTGTTTTGGGGGCGTGGTTTTGGAAGGAGCCCAGAATGGAGGGGGTGGAAGTGAATGGAGATAAGTAGCTGTGTTTATTACAGCCCTGAGAGGACTACAGACACTCGATTTTTATACTCTCTTTTCCAGAGTACTTACATTTTAATTATGCATTGATATATATAGAAAGTTTAAACAAATTTGGCAAAAAGTTTAAAAAAAAAATCCTACCTACAATACCTTTAACCTTCACATACTTCAATGAACGAGCCCCGAGGGGCGCAATGGCGCATGCGCGTCAAACAGATGAAGCAGAAGTAGCGCAATCATTTATTAAATAAAATAATTTATGCAATAAAATGTCGAAAATACACATTTATAATAAAAATTAATAAAAAACACACACAAAATGTTACTTTGTACGAGGTATGAGGAACACACCTCATACAAGTTAACATTCTGTGATTTTTTTTCATTTTTAATTTAGTCGTTTTAATTTCTGCTTTAAAATTGTAAGCAATCAGTTTTTTTTAGGTTCGAATGTAATCTCTTTGTATTTAAAAGGCGTCCTATTATGCTTTTTCAATTTTGTCAACTTTAGTTAGTCTGTAATGTTGCTGTTTTAGCATTAAAAAGATCTGCAAGGTTAAAGCTCAAAGTCCATTCCAAAGGGAGATATTTTATTTAACAGAACTTTTCAAAAACTAAAACGAACGGCTCGTTTGGACTACAACACACTTTTTCCGTATCTTATGAAGTCATAATGTTCCTCATTTAAATAATCCCCGCCCACAGAATGCGCAAATAAGTTGGCGAGGCCTGGTTGAGCTGTTTTTTCCACCCTGGAAAAAATTTGTCCTAAGGCTGACAAACTTAGATAGGTAAAACATTGTTTAACAGTGTTCCTGAACATTATAACCTCAACATTTGTCTGTGCACTCACTGCACATTTTACAGAGAACAGCAGACAGACAGAGTACAATGCAGGCTATACACACAAAAGCTTCTCCTGATTATGAATCACATCTTGTAAGTACACTAAAAAAAATGCTGGGTTGTTTCTGTAAACAAATTGTTGGGTTGATTGTGCTGGGTCAAAATGCTGGGTTGTTTGGGGCACTGTAAACACATTATTGGGTTGCTCATGCTGGGTCAAATGAGTTGTATTGTGTTTTGCTGTTTTCTATTAACAGTTCTACCAGAAAGACTCAGGAGAATAAATACTGTAACAATAAATACATTTATTGATAGCCCAGCAAGCAATAAAGTTCTTTGGCGTAGGCCCCGTCCATAGCTCGCAATCCGAGGGTCCGGACTCTGCATTTCCTGCCTGAAGACGAAGGCAGGGGCGCAGCCGACCCCCTGTGAGGTATAGGAAGGGACCATCCTGATGGTGGTGGGAAGGATGGAGGGGAAGGGACCATCCTGGTGGTGGTGGGGAGGATGGAGGGGAAGGGACCATCCTGGTGGTGGTGGGGAGGTTGGAGGTGAATGAAAGCGTCAGCATCTGCAAACTCAAACATGTGTAAGTACTGGTCTTTTATACCGCAAGTATTAGACACGATTGGATAGATGAGAAGGTAATAAGTGACGTAGCAATTGAGTCTTCCTGGCAGAACTTAATGCTAAAGCTTCCATTTCCAATTATAAGTTGTATGTAGTTGCTATGATAGCTATGATGTAAACGAAGGGCAAAGCTTTGCCTCCGCTAGCCTGATTACTAACATTACACTATTGATTAAGTGTTTACTTTAGCTTTTGTAAGCTCTTGCTTTTGTAAGACTGTTCACCACCCCTTAGGAAAATTATCCATGATTTTGTGATCGATTACTGTTTGTATTACCATAGTTTTCCAACAAATAGGATTAAATGGTGGATAACATCGTATCAATATGAAAAAAAAAAAAATGAAAAAAAACATACCACTCTGAAACATCCTGTGAAATCCGTGCTTGCAAAGTCTGTGCTTGAAATCCGTTCAGCACGATCCTCTTGTTCGTTAACATTGTCAGGATCTGAATCGGGCTCGAAATGGTTTGAAATTGACGCCATCTTTAAGATTTACATCTGAGTAGAGCTCGGAATTATGAAGAGGCATGATATTTCCTGAACTGGCACTATTCACTGCCAATCACAACACACTGGACCAGCTAACCAATCACAGTTGTATTTCAGAAGGGAGGGGGAGGGGGGGCTTCATCGAAAGCGACACATTCAACCAGACAGGGGAGAGAGGCGCTGTGATAATGTAAAATATGTGAATAATAATGCGTTTTTTGAACAATCAAGCATGAAAACATATTCTACTACACCCCAAAAACAGAATCAATACTTCTTAAAAGGGCATAATAGGACCCCGTTAACACTTTTTCTGCTTAGAATGAACAGCATAACCTACATACTTGTTTCCATAGGCTTTATATTACACATTGTTTGGAGAAAAGAAGGATTTCCAAAATAAAACAATATTCTCAAGAATTTTATTGTTTTGTTTGAAACATTATAATTGGTGAAAAACACTTGTATTTCGATGATCCACTTTGGACATTCTACTAACTATAAGCAACTTTGCAACTACATGTCAACTAACTCTTTTTAGACTATTAATAGACTGTAGTTGACTGTTAGTAGACTGTTAGGTTAGGGTAAGGTGTTAGGAGGATTCAGGTTAGTAGAATAAGTTGACATTTAGTTATGAAGTTACTTATTGTCAGTATCTATTGAGGGAGCATCAAAATAGAGTTTGAATACACCTTCTGGTGCTACTTGGACACGTCATCAGTGAAGAACCCGGGGTCATAGGGTGTTTCGGGTCTTTAATCTTCACACACTCACCCGGGCGACCCAACCGGGGGTGATCAGTCCCGGGCTTGTGTCCAAGTGGCATGTTGCTCCACGTTTCCCCCCTACGGATCCACAGCCACCGAGAAGCCCTCTCTGCAGCCTCTAAAATGTTTGTGGTGGCTTTCTTCAACTGTAGTCCTTTCACTCCAAGGAGTTTGAGGGTTCGCAGCAGTGAGCGGCCAGCGAAACCTCGGCACCCGACCTCGACTGGCTCGCAGCGAGCTTTCCAGCCGTTGTTACGGCACTCCGAGCTGAGCTCTGCATACTTAGCCCTCTTGCGCTCGTGGGCCTCTTCAATACGGTCTTCCCAGGCGACAGTTAGTTCCAGGATGACCACTTACTTAGTAGACTCAGATGTTAGCACCATGTCCGGGCGGAGAGAAGTGGCTGTGATGTTGCCTGGAAACTTAAGCTGTTTTCCAAGGTCGACTTGAAGCTGCCAATCACGAGCAGTGGAGAGGAGCCCCCCCGTAGAGCTAGGCCGGTGGTGTTGTTCCTTCTGCCCAGCTCTGATGAAGGTGGTTATTTGTTTGGGGGCTGCCTGGGTCTTGCTGAGCTGGATCGCTGTGCGGATAGAGTCAGCCAAAGCCTTTAACACCTGGTCATGGCGCCAGCGGTACCGCCCCTCCCCTAGCGCTTTTGAGCAGCTGCTCAAAATGTGCTCCAGTGTGCCCCTCTTCTGACACAGCTTGCACTCAGGAGTGTTTGCCAGGCCCCAGGTATGCAGGTTAGCTGGGCTTGGGAGGACGTTGTAGACCGATTAGACAAGAAACTTAATCCGAAAAGGCTCTGCTTTCCAGAGCTCTGCCCAGGTTATTCTGCGTGGATCTGCATGTTCCCACCTGGTCCACGCTCCTTGTTTGGACATGCCGGCCATTTTGGTGCAGCGTTCTTCCTCCACCTCTGCTCGTATCTCGTCCTGAATTAGTCTGCGCCTCTGTTTTCCCTGAGCCAGATCGTAACGTGGCTTGGGAAAACAACCAAGACCTGCTCGTCCCGTTGCCACGGAGCCCACAAGCGTTTTGTGCCTTAGTCGCGCCTCAGCTCTATTGACAGCTTCTTGCGCCTGCCACTTCCTCCCAGTCTTCACGAGGATTCCTTATGCTGCGACTTTTGTGTCCCTGGAGTCCCTGTACATCAATACCTCTCTGGAGCGGGTGACTTTGAACTCCTCTGTTAGTCCACTCAAAGGAAGATGCAGCATGGTGGAATGGCCGTACAGGGCAATGCTACTCAAAGACAGAGGGAGCCCCAGCCATTTTCTGAGGAACTGGCTGATAGACTTCTCTAGAACCTCGACTGTTGATGATGGTACCTCGTAGACTAACAGGGGCCAGAGTATTCTTGGCAAGACTCCGTGTTGGTAGATCCAGGCTTTGACTTTTCCGGGGAGGCCAGATCTATCAATCGCTGTGAGCCAGGAAGTCAGGTCGCACTTGGCTTGTTTTATGGCAGCTGAGTCCTTCAGGGAGCTATCAAAGATCTTCCCCAGGCTCTTGACCAGTTTTTCAGACACCGATGGAATCATGGTCTTTCCCAGGGCAAAGCGGAAACGGTCGGACACTTTACCCTTCTTTAGGACCAGAGACCTGGACTTAGCGGGCTTGAAACTCATCCTTGCCCAGGAGATGAGACTTTCAAGCCCCTGGAGGAGCCACCTGCACCCTGGAACTGATGTTGTCATCACTGTTAAGTCGTCCATAAAAGCTCTTATGGGGGGCTGATGGGTCCCAGATCTTGACTTGGGCCCTCTACATTCCACTTCGGCCGACTTGACAATCATATTAATGGCTAGTGAGAAAAGAGTTACAGAGATTGTACAGCCGGTGATTATCCCTTTTTCAAGTTGATGCCAGGAGGATGTTACTTGGCCTGAAGAGACTCGTGCGCTGAAGTTGTTATAATAGTCCATGATGAGGTTACGGATCTTGACAGGAACATGGTGTCTTACCAGTGCGGTTTCCACAAGGTTATGTGGCATAGACCCATAGGCATTGGCCAGGACAAGCCAGAGAGTTGCCAGATCTCCTTTGCTCTCCCTAGCCTCCTAGATCAGCTGTGTCACCACCCCTGTGTGCTCCAGACATCCAGGTACTCCTGGGACTCCTCCCTTCTGGACTGAGGTGTCAATGTAGTCAGGAGGAAGTCCGTCAGACGTTGGGACACGATTTTGAAAAAGACCTTGCTTTCAACACTGAGCAGCGAGATGGTGCGAAACTGATCAATGTTGCAAGAGCCCTCCTCCTTCGGGATCCAGATTCCCTCAGCGTGTCTCCATTGCGCAGCGACTTTCCCTCTCCGCCAGATCACCTTCAGGATCTTCCATAAACGTCTGAGGAGCTGCGGGCACTGCTTGTAGACCTTGTAAGGGACCCCGCTGGGACCTGGAGCTGAGCTGGATCTTGCCGCTCTAACGGCATCTTCCGTTAGAGCGGCAAGAATAAAGTGTTAGCAGATATTAACCAGACGGTCTACTAATACTCTAATGACTGATAGTTGACATGTAGTTGCAAAGTTACTTATAGTTAGTAGAATGTTTAAAGTGCACCATTGAAATAAAGTGTTACAATAAAATAGTAACTTTTTCGTCCTAGAAGTGTTTAATGTTTAACATCCCCTCAAATTAATGTGAAACTGAAGTAGTTTGATAAAAAAGCTTGCTTAATTTCCACCTTTAAAAACTTAGTATATTTGTAATATTTTATCCTGTATATTGAGACATAAATGTACTGTATATAAGGAATGATCCACATATCTTTAGCCATGACAACATTTGAGAGACGTGTTGGTGTTACACTATAAATGAGCATTCTCTCTGATGAGCCACTTCCCTAAAGGGTCCACTGAGCACAAAAGAGGAAAATGAGAAAGTGTAGAACAATGAAAAGGCTTTCATTTAAGAGCATCAGATTATCAGAAAGAGGGGGAGAATCTTCACAGAAGTAATCAAGCCTTGATGAAATAAAGGAATGCGTTAAGCCTCCACAGAGTCAACGCAATGTACTGTGATGGCCACAAGTACATGAACCCACACAAAACCCCAGAGTATTAGCATTCTCATTTCAAATGTCTTAAAGGCTGGGAAAACATGCAAATTATTTTAAATGGATGACAAATCTGATGATAGAGATTTCTGGAGCCCCTTTTCTCTGCCTCTAGATCCCCCTAGTCTATGTTTAATTTTATCTATGGCAATATACGTGTTCATTTTGTCTTTTAATATATGTATTTTCTCTTAGAAAAATGAAATCTCTCCAAGGAAAACAAAACTAGCTGATTTGTAAGTTCTCTCTTGAAGTTTGTAATGTAGGGGAGAGCGGGGAACAACCGAACACATTTTGGTTTTGGCTCAATTATTAAAAAAATAATTTTAAGTTAGTTTAATCTTTTTTTTTACACAAGCAACATCTCTGCTACAAATGAAGACTTAAAGTTTTTTTTCTAGGACCTGCCATTTTCGTACAGTTGCCCTGAAAGTGACAGAAGTGCAAATGTTACAACTTACCCTATGTGCGGGGTTAATTGTAACAGACAGAGGGGTTAGTTGTAACACTTGTGTGTAACACATAATTCAGTACTATTTTATCTGTATAGTTTGATATTGTTTGTGCATCTGTATAGATATATATCCATACATCCATCCCTCATCCAATCATCCTTCTATTATGGATAGAGATATCTAATATCATGGATAGAGATATAGGAAAGGGCTGCACAGTTTTGCAATAAATACATAAATAAATAAATAAAATCATCAAATATTGCAATTGAATTATATTTTTGTGTGGCAGCTGCATGCAAAATTATTATTATTAATAATAATAAAAACGAGCTTAAAAATCACATTTTAAAGGGTTTTGTCACGGTTTGGGCTTTGTTTCTTGTTCCTGTTTCTTGTCTGTCATGTGATCCCCTGTTCTAGTCATGTGATCTTGCCTTGTGTTCCATTGTCTGTTGTGTCATGTTGTCATTGGTTGATTGTTTAAATGTTCACAGGTGTCCCTTCCCTTGTCTCGTCGTTAGTCCTGTATGTATTTAAGCCCTGTGTCTTGTTCAGTCTTGTGAGTTCTTGATGATGTTGGATGTTGTATGTTGTTCGTTGTTCCTTGTTCCTTGTTCCGTTGGTTGTTGTTCCGTTGGTTGTTGTTCCGTTGGATGTTGGTTGTTGTTCCGTTGGATGTTGGTTGTTGTTCCGTTGGTTGTTGTTCCGTTGGATGTTGGATGTTGTTCCTTTGGTTGTTGTTCTGTTGGATGTTGGTTGTTGTTCTGTTGGATGTTGGTTGTTGTTCCGTTGGTTGTTGTTCCGTTGGATGTTGGTTGTTGTTCCTTTGGTTGTTGTTCCGTTGGATGTTGGTTGTTCCGTTGGATGTTGGTTGTTGTTCCTTTGGTTGTTGTTCCGTTGGATGTTGGTTGTTGTTCCTTTGGTTGTTGTTCCGTTGGATGTTGGTTGTTGTTCCGTTGGTGGTTGTTCCGTTGGATGTTGGTTGTTGTTCCTTTTGGTTGTTGTTCCGTTGGATGTTGGTTGTTCCGTTGGATGTTGGTTGTTGTTCTGTTGGATGTTGGTTGTTCCTTTGGTTGTTGTTCCGTTGGATGTTGGTTGTTGTTCATTTGGTTGTTTTTCCGTTGGTTGTTGTTCCTTTGGTTGTTGTTCTGTTGGATGTTGGTTGTTCCTTTGGTTGTTGTTCCGTTGGATGTTGGTTGTTGTTCCTTTGGTTGTTGTTCCGTTGGATGTTGGTTGTTGTTCCTTTGGTTGTTGTTCCGTTGGATGTTGTTGGTTGTTGTTCCTTTGGTTGTTGTTCTGTTGGATGTTGGTTGTTGTTCCTTTGGTTGTTGTTCCGTTGGATGTTGGTTGTTGTTGTTCCGTTGGTTGTTGTTCCGTTGGATGTTGGTTGTTCCGTTGGATGTTGGTTGTTGTTCCTTTGGTCGTTGTTCCGTTGGATGTTGGTTGTTGTTCTGTTGGATGTTGGTTGTTGTTCCTTTGGTTGTTGTTCCGTTGGATGTTGGTTGTTGTTCCTTTGGTTGTTGTTCCGTTGGATGTTGGTTGTTGTTCCGTTGGATGTTGGTTGTTGTTCCTTTGGTTGTTGTTCCGTTGGATTTTGGTTGTTGTTGTTCCGTTGGTTGTTGTTCCGTTGGATGTTGGTTGTTGTTCCTTTGGTTGTTGTTCCGTTGGATGTTGTTCCATTGGATGTTGGTTGTTGTTCCTTTGGTTGTTGTTCTGTTGGATGTTGTTCCGTTGGATGTTGGTTGTTGTTCCGTTGGTGGTTGTTCCGTTGGATGTTGGTTGTTGTTCCTTTTGGTTGTTGTTCCGTTGGATGTTGGTTGTTCCGTTGGATGTTGGTTGTTGTTCTGTTGGATGTTGGTTGTTCCTTTGGTTGTTGTTCCGTTGGATGTTGGTTGTTGTTCATTTGGTTGTTTTTCCGTTGGTTGTTGTTCCTTTGGTTGTTGTTCTGTTGGATGTTGGTTGTTCCTTTGGTTGTTGTTCCGTTGGATGTTGGTTGTTGTTCCTTTGGTTGTTGTTCCGTTGGATGTTGGTTGTTCTGTTGGATGTTGGTTGTTGTTCCTTTGGTTGTTGTTCCGTTGGATGTTGGTTGTTGTTCCTTTGGTTGTTGTTCCGTTGGATGTTGGTTGTTGTTCTGTTGGATGTTGGTTGTTGTTCTGTTGGATGTTGTTCCGTTGGATGTTGGTTGTTGTTCCGTTGGATTTTGGTTGTTGTTCTGTTGGATGTTGATTGTTGTTCTGTTGGATGTTGATTGTTGTTCCGTTGGTGGTTGTTCCGTTGGATGTTGGTTGTTGTTCCGTTGGTTGTTCCGCTGGTGGTTGTTCCGTTGGATGTTGGTTGTTGTTCCGTTGGATGTTGGTTGTTCCGTTGGTGGTTGTTCCGTTGGATTTTGGTTGTTGTTGTTCCGTTGGATGTTGTTCCGTTGGATGTTGGTTGTTGTTCCTTTGGTTGTTGTTCCCTTGGTTGTTGTTCCATTGGATGTTGGTTGTTGTTCCGTTGGATGTTGGTTGTTGTCCTGTTGGTTGTTGTTCTGTTAGGATGTTGTTCCGTTGGTTGTTGTTCCGTTGGATGTTGGATGTTGGTTGTTGTTCCGTTGGATGTTGGTGGTGTTCCGTTGGATGTTGGTTGTTTCGTTCCCGAATCGGAGTTGGTTGTTCCTTTGGTTGTTGTTCCGTTGGATGTTGGTTGTTGTTCCTTTGGTTGTTGTTCCGTTGGATGTTGGTTGTTGTTCCTTTGGTTGTTGTTCCGTTGGATGTTGGTTGTTGTTCCTTTGGTTGTTGTTCCGTTGGATGTTGGTTGTTGTTCCGTTGGTTGTTGTTCCATTGGATGTTGGTTGTTGTTCCTTTGGTTGTTGTTCCGTTGGATTTTGGTTATTGTTGTTCCGTTGGTTGTTGTTCCGTTGGATGATGGTTGTTGTTCCTTTGGTTGTTGTTCCGTTGGATGTTGGTTGTTGTTCCTTTGGTCGTTGTTCCGTTGGATGTTGGTTGTTCCGTTGGATGTTGGTTGTTGTTCTGTTGGATGTTGGTTGTTGGATGTTGGTTGTTGTTCCTTTGGTTGTTGTTCCGTTGGATTTTGGTTGTTGTTGTTCCGTTGGATGTTGGTTGTTGTTCCTTTGGTTGTTGTTCCGTTGGATGTTGGTTGTTGTTCCGTTGGATGTTGTTTGTTGTTCCTTTGGTTGTTGTTCCGTTGGATGTTGGTTGTTGTTCCGTTGGATGTTGGTTGTTGTTCCTTTGGTTGTTGTTCCGTTGGTTGTTGGTTGTTGTTCTGTTGGATGTTGGTTGTTGTTCTGTTGGATGTTGGTTGTTGTTCCGTTGGTTGTTGTTCCGTTGGTGGTTGTTCCGTTGGATTTTGGTTGTTGTTCTGTTGGATGCTGATTGTTGTTCTGTTGGATGTTGATTGTTGTTCCGTTGGTGGTTGTTCCGTTGGATGTTGGTTGTTGTTCCGTTGGTTGTTCCGCTGGTGGTTGTTCCGTTGGATGTTGGTGGTTGTTCTGTTGGAAGTTGGTGGTTGTTCCGTTGGAAGTTGGTTGTTGTTCCGTTGGTGGTTGTTCCGTTGGATGTTGGTTGTTGTTCCGTTGGTTGTTCCGCTGGTGGTTGTTCCGTTGGATGTTGGTGGTTGTTCCGTTGGTTGTTGTTCCGTTGGTGGTTGTTCCGTTGGATTTTGGTTGTTGTTGTTCCGTTGGATGTTGTTCCGTTGGATGTTGGTTGTTGTTCCGTTGGATGTTGGTTGTTGTTGTTCCGTTGGTTGTTGTTCCATTGGATGTTGGTTGTTGTTCCGTTGGATGTTGGTTGTTGTTCCGTTGGATGTTGGTTGTTGTTCCGTTGGATGTTGGTTGTTGTTCCGTTGGATGTTGGTTGTTGTTCCGTTGGTTGTTGTCCTGTTGGTTGTTGTTCTGTTGGATGTTGGTTGTTGTTCCGTTGGTTGTTGTTCCGTTGGATGTTGATTGTTGTTCCGTTGGTTGTTTTTACGTTGGATGTTGGATGTTGGTTGTTGTTCCGTTGGATGTTGGTTGTGTTCCGTTGGATGTTGGTTGTTCCGTTCCCGAATCGGAGTTTGTAAAGTCTGGAGTTTGTTTAATAAAGTGTGCTGTATTTGGATCCTGCTTCCTCGTTTCAACTGCATCGCACCAGGTTTATTGCATGAAAAACAGGCTATACTTTTAATAAATAAACAAGTGATCAATGCATAGTAAAAAAATCCCATAGCTACAAAGTGAAAAAAAAAAAACTACTTTGACATTCAAATTCCAACATTGTTTGTGAAAGTCCAACAAAGTTAAATGTGGCAAAATAAATATATATACATAAATTAGTGCTGGGCAAGTTAACGCGTTATCGCGTTAACGCATTTATTAATTAATGCCGACAATTTTTTTATCGCGTGTTAACGCAGAGGTTTTTTTTTATTATTATTTTGAAAGTCCGTTGCTCACTGCCTCTGAATACACATAGGCCTACAGTCAAACCATGATCACAGGAGGGGTGGGATGTTGGTCAGCCAGCAAATAACCCACCCAAACAAGCAGTGGAGAGGCTTTGGCAGGTTCTCTCAGGTGAACAGAAAGGGAGACAGCGCTCCGCGAGTGAATGACAGGCGCTCTTAGTAACCATGGCACCGGCTTCTGTGCGCTACGCAGCTGTAGCCTTTTTAACTTAAATTAAAATTATACATAACTTTACCTGATAGGCCTGCGTTTAGTTTAGCGGGGATGCTCTGCCATGTGAATTCCCTCCTGTTGATGTCCTGATAACTATTTAGATTCTGGAAACTCACAAACAGCGAGCCGAGGATCAGTCTCTCTTCCAATGATTTGTGCTGCGCGTCGTGTACAAAAAAGTTAGACAATTCAACTTCGGCAACGCGCGGGCACGTGCGTGTGCGTGAGGCGAGCATGACTGCAACAGTTTCACAGGAACGCACCCGCTTGTCGCTGCACCTGTGCTCGACCACTTCACCTCACTCTAGGCTGCTTTATACTTCTGCGTCGGACCTACACCGGAGCCTCTCTACGCTATAGACTACGCGTTGGTTTTCATTTATATATCTGCGTCGTTGTCCGCGTTGACGCGCAATTACACATGAGGGAGAGTGTGAAACCCGGGGAGCGGTTCTAGCAATCACAGCGCTTGGGGTACGCGTAGAATTGACGTTACATTTTTGGAGAGATGCACGTCAGGGTACGCGCGCTACACAGCTATGGCGTGAGTTCGATGCAGAAGTATAAATTGGGCTTTACCTCTGTTTAATGTAATCTTACGTGGGAAACCATGGCATGCCATGACCAAACCTAAGCTGCTATCAGAGAAGTAACGTTGGTCGACTTATATCTGTAGTAGTGATCATGACCCTTTGACTACATAGACTGTTTCTGCTGCTCCCTGATACAAGATACCTGTTCAGAAAAAAAAAGAAAGAAAACTGGACTCGTTTTAACAAGCTAGATAAAAGGTAATGCCCTGGCAGTGGCAAATAGCTTTGTTTAAATATTTGATTTGATTACATTAATGTTTAAGTTGAGATTTACAAAAAATATTTTATTGATACTGTGTAAAGGGAATACTGCTGGTATAAAAGCACCTTATTTGTTTAAAGTTTTTGCAAACCACATGTTATTGCACTTTTGTAGCAGTACATTTAAATCAAAAGTGCGCAATACACTACTAGAATTCATTATTCAATTTTGCGCGTAACAATGAAAATTTTTTTTATCGCGATTAATCGCGATAAAATTTTTTAATCGTTGCCCAGCACTAACATAAATACTTAAACCTGAAAAGTTGTGAGGCTCCTTGTTTTCATTTAATTCCATTATCATTGTACACTTGGCAAAACTGTGCTACAACTAACCCCGATGTGTAAAAAATATTTTAAGCCTTGCTAACAGTTGCTAGGAGTTGCTGACATGTTTCAAAATGGTGCTGTGTTTTAGCCAACAAGACAGTGACAAAGATAATATAAAATAAGATTTGATGACGTACACATCCAACTCAGAAACCAAAAAAAAAAAACGTATGATGAAAAAATGGACTTGCATCGTGTCAAAACACTCTTTGTCCAGTATCTTCACGAAATCTTATCAAAACTTTCCACAAGTCTCCTGGCAGTCAGAGGAAAAAAAGCGGAAACACAATCTGCTTGACCCTGACTAACTATGTAAAAGGTCAGTGTTACATTTAACCCAGCGTTAGATTGTGCCCCGCCCTCCCCTATAGTTCTGGACTGTCTCTGTCCTTCATTTATTGGACAAGCAGGTAGCCCCGCCCCAAACTCGAGCCATTAGCTGAGCCTGAAGCTGACAAGCCAGCTTGCTCAAACAAATAGAGCAAAGCTATAAAGTCAGTCAGCAAATCGCTTACTTAAAGTTGTCTTGGCACATTAAACTGATTAGAAAAAACATTTTAACACAGAAAACATTAACGATTTCACCCTTACACAAGGCTACGTATTTAACAGCTTTCAAGTGGAAAGAAACTCAGAGCTTTCACTGCGGCCCTCTCAACCCAATCTTATGTGAAAACATAAGTATTTTACACTCACCGGCCACTTTATTAGGTACACCTGTCCAACTGCTCGTTAACTATGGAAGTAAAATAATCCCAAATGTTTTTGAAACAAAAAGCCTGTTGAATTGTACTACTTGAAAAAAATATGCATTGCATTAACCCTGCTTGTATTTTAATGCATTGTATTTTTAGGGCTTGTATTTTTATAGGCTGAAATTTAGCATGGTTGAATATTTAAGCTGTGAATATTTCAAATCAAAACATTTCAAACACATTTTCATTAGTAAAATTTCAATAATCCATATTCACCTTTCATATTTCATTTCCCAAATATTCAAACTGGTTAAAAATACAACCTATAATATTCAACAGGCGGTTTTCGGTCCATTTTATTTCGCTTTGCAAATTCGCTTCCACAAATTCAGTGGTTCAAATTCGACAGTAAATTCAACGTTGACATCCAGGAGCTGCAGGAAAAGCAGTCGATTACCGAGCATAATCTCCATCTGCTGTTAGTCGACCTCACCAGCAGGGGGTGCAAGCGCGTGTTGTTGACGAAGACCAGAGCAACAGTTAGCGCAAGCCATTCATTCATAAAAACTCAGCATGCATTATGTTTTTTTGTGACGATTATCTGGGTCAGTATATATGCGGAAAAGATGATAAAGGCACAAAAGCTGTTTTTATGTTTCATTCATTGTTACTTTCCCTGTGTAGCCTTATGTTATCAGCCTTTTCTACAGTGAACGGGATTATAATCTGTTTCCCTCAATACATCATCATACTCAAAGATTCCCCGAATTCCGTCAGGACAAAGCGTAGCTTAATGGACTACAGTGATATAAAAGACCAAACTCGCACCTTATTTGGAAAGTATGTATTGTACATGTACTGCATTAGATTAAACTGGGAAGTAGCACTTTCATATTGTTGTTCTATATTGTTAGTTTAACTAGTCGCTTTGGATAAAAGTGCCAGCTAAAAGACTAAATGTAAAATTGGGTTGACATTCGAAAATTTAGGGACCGTCTCTAAAGTAACAAGTCCTATAGGCATAAACGTTTCTAACTTCAATAGCAAACTTCAATCTATTTGAATAAATTGCGGATTATGCCTGAGCCTGACACCTACATGAACACTTTACAGTTGGTTTTATGACTGTAAGTCGTTCTTTTCAAATGGTATTTAAGTTAGAAACGTGTATACCAATTTCGTATGTAACTTTAGAGACGGTCCCTAAATGTGCGAATGTCCAATGTCAAACCAAATTTATGCCAGTATATCACTGGGAAACGCTCAGCATTAAACTTTGCGCGTTAAATTCATATTCTGAGTCCATCTGCTAGCCTGCGAGTTTGGTCTTTTATGTCCATTAAGCTACGTTAAGCGTTTTATATGTCCAGCAGGGGAATCCTGACATATTGAGGGAAACCAAACCCTAGTACTGCATGCAGCACATCGCTGCAATATAAGGTTAAGGCAACTAAACAACCAAGAGAAATATGTCAAATGTAACACTGGATCTGTACATCAGCATCGGGGGAATAACATTATCGTTCATGGTAGAGAAAGATGCATGTAGGCTACACAGGAAAAGTAATCGTGAACACAGAAGACTCCACCGGGTACCACTCATCTCCACTACAAATAGGAAAAAGAGGCTACAATTTGCAAGAGCTCACCAAAATTGAACAGTTGAAGACTGGAAAAATGTTGCCTGGTCTGATGAGTCTCGATTTCTGTTGAGACATTCAGATGTTAGAGTCAGAATTTGGCGTAAACAGAATGAGAACATGGAACCATCATGCCTTGTTACCACTGTGCAGGCTGGTGGTGGTGGTGTAATGGTGTGGGGGATGTTTTCCTGGCACACTTTAGGCCCCTTAGTGCCAATTGGGCATCGTTTAAATGCCACGGCCTACCTGAGCATTGTTTCTGACCATGTCCATCCCTTTATGGCCACCATGTACCCATCCTCTGATGGCTACTTCCACCATGTCACAAAGCTCTAATCATTTCAAATTGGTTTCTTGAACATGACAATGAGTTCACTGTACTAAAATGGCCTCCACAGTCACCAGATCTCAACCCAATAGAGCATCTTTGGGATGTGGTGGAACGGGAGATTCGCATCATGGATGTGCAGCGGAAATGGAAATCTGCGGCAACTGTGTGATGCCATCATGTCAATATGGACCAAACTCCCTGAGGAATGCTTCCAGCACCTTGTTGAATCTATGCCACGAAGAATTG